TCTTACTAATTTCAAAAGACAATTCCAAACATATACCGCAAGTAGTAAATTTTCTTAATATGTATTTTAGTGTAAATAACTTTAGCACCTTAACAGAATCTGTCAAGTTAAAACAAAAGTATCTTGTATCACATAAGCAGGGTGATACTGCCACAGTGCTCGACAGCAATGCTCTTGGTAACTTGTGTGTGTTCTCCCAACCTGCATACAATTGTTCTAGGTTGTATGCATATGCATCTATGTAAAACCTTCCCGTATTTGTCCAAAAGCAAATGAAGATCAGCAGATGGATGACTTTAAAATCATGTTAAGTTTGCTTTCAGAATCCCAACATTCAACTTTCTACACATCCTTCTCTGTATTTCCCTGTCTTGCGTCTATACTCCAACTGTTTCACCTCCTTCCCTACCAAAAAGATAAAACAGCTAATAGCATTTGTGAGTAACAGTTGGCCTATCTTGAATGCTCTCTGAATATAAGATACTACGTTACACACGTAACACATACTAGCCCAGTTAAGCCTCAGAGAATTAAGTATGTGACACACAGTAAATAAATGTTCAAAACATTTACTGAACAAATGAATTATAATCCCCAGAATATAAAACATTTTGAAAAGGAAGAACAGAGAAGTTAATATGTAGTAGTTTTTTACTGGCCACAGAAGCAAAAATTAAGGTTGGAATGAACATACAAGTGCAAGATGTCAGCTCTTAAGGCCAAACTGCCTTGTGTTTATTCACACTTCCTCCTGTCTGAGCTTATTACATTTCAACAGGAGTGTTATTAGTCAGGGCTACCTCCAATTTGGAATTACATTTTACACATTTACTTCAAGTTATAAATTGAAAAATCTGACTGCCAATCTCAGGCTTTGATAAACAGGTGGAAAGAGATCTTTGCAGCGGAGGCCCCCTAGAGTCCCAAACTAGTGCTGAAAATCAGTCTAATTGTAGGATGGAAAGGGAAAGTTCAGTGCAATGACCCTCTTAGCCCCATGCTTCCCCATTTCATTCCTCCAGCATGCCAAGCCCTTCTTTTCCCCTCCTCATTCACAATCTTTGCTGCTATCTGCCCTCAATACCCTCTACTCTTACGGGTGAGTGAGACATTTAGCCAACTGAAAGGCAGGTTCACTGGAGCCACCTTCAGTGACCACACGCTCTCCTCTCTCTGTACTGCTACACTGCGCTCTCATTGTACCCTGCTCTGACACCTCAAGACATGCATCACAAGCTGAAATCTCCTACTTATTAGTAGGGACTTTAATTAGACTTCAGCCTCTTCAGCTAGACTATAAACTCCATAATCTGTCTCATTCTCCACATAGCATGGTGCCTGGCTCTGGGTGGAAAAAGGGTTAATGTAGCAGACCTGACAGTGCTCTCCTTAGAAAGGCTGCTTGCAAGGTCAGCCCTTGGCTGGCATCAAGGACTTTGGCTCTGGGGGTGTTCCCCAGTCAACAGTTAACTGAAGACCAGGCCACTATGCCTAAACTGTTTGTACAAACAATATGGGTTCATGCTGAACACCTGCATTCCTTCCGGAGTCTGAAAGTTTAGAACATGCCAGGCAGAGGGTCCTACATGACCAACCCCCCAGTAAGAAGCCTGGGTATTGAGTCTATAATATGCTTCCCTGGTAGACAACACTAGACACACATTGTCAAAAGTCACTGCTGGAGGAATTAAAGTGTCCTGGGAAGCCTGTGCCAAGTCTCTCCTGGATTTCACCCACTGCTGGAGGAATTAAGGTGTCCTCGGAAGTCTGTGCCAGGTCTGGATTTGCAGACTGTGCTTTGTATCCTTCGTCTCTAATCAAGTGTAGCCTTGAGTACAACTACATGCCCAGTCCTGTGAGTACTTCCAGCAAACCACCAAACTTATGGGTAATCCTGAGGACCGCAAACAGAGACTACCATCAATTGAATTAGTCAATTAGCAATTCTTTGTCTTGTATGATTTCACAGAAAACAAGGGAGTGGTATAGGTTTGTTTGCTGAAACTACCCAGTTCACAAGATCACAGACGAACTCACCAGGAATCCCAAATCCTACAAAAAGTACCTGAGCAAGCGCCGCCCCCTCGCACTCATAGCCTGCTGTATCTACCTAAATTCCCATTCCTGCCCAAGCCTAGATGAGATTCTTTTCTTTCTCTTACTTCTGTCTTCACTTTCCTTTTTTCATCTAAAGAGTTTAATATGTAATATGTCACCCTTTACATAAAAGTTTATGAGCATAATTTATATAGCAGTTCCTTCTAACCATTTACTGAATAAGGGATAGATAGGCTCTAAATTTCTTTATTGGCGGAGGGGCCTTTTTTCTTAAAGGCAAAGTCGTTTATATTAAATGAATGAAGATTATCCAGGTGACAGATGTCATCAGTTTTCACTATCATTAAAATAACTTTAATGTTTTGTTAGAAACAAAGAGATAAGATGTTGCTTTAGATTTTGGTTAATGCCACAGACCAATACTGATACCATTCTTTTTAACCAAGAAGGAAACACAGGAAGTAAACTAAAAACAAATGCCTTATATGATCCTTGTCCCCAAATATATCAACTAAATAATTTATTTCCATCCAAGTACATTCCCACTGAAAGAGAACTGGCCTATGACCTAGAAAGCAGTCATTTAATGAACCTTGGTTTAATATACTGCCAGTATTCTGACTTACATAATAGATTACCTATTTCACTTGATTAACAGCCCAAGGGGTGCCTTAGCTGCAGAGAAGGCATTGTTTCCAACATGCATAATTTGCATTTATCAGAAGATAAATTCCATACTGCTGTATTTCTAAACCAAAGTGAAATTAATTACTTGCTTTCTCTCCTAAGGACAAAAATGAAAGGTTCTGTTAACTGAGAAAGTCAACCACAAACTTGAGCTGCTCAAAGTGATAACCTAAAGATGAAAAACCTTTTTTGTGTGTGAAATGAAGTCTGGCTCTTGTCACCCAGGCTAGAGTGCAATGGCAGTGTAAGGCTGGTTGCCTCACCTGGAGCTCGGACATGCCCATTTCTGCACTCGGCACCTAGCCTGCCTTGGAAAGCCCCTCTGCACTCAACACTAAGCTCTGCACTTGGCACCTAGCCCACCTTGGAAAACCCCTCTGCACCCAACACTAAGCTCTGCACTCAGCACCTAGCCCGCCATTGGAAAATCCCATCTACCTACCAATAGCAGCCTGCCCTGACCACGCCCTGTTTCCCCCCAATCAATCAAACGCCTTCACTCCCTATAAAACCCCATGCCCAGGAGAGTCAGTCGTGACTTCCCCGGCCTCTTTCCCCGGGACCACGGAAACTCACCCGGGAGCTTAATAAATTGGCATTTAATCTTCTTGTGCTGGCCTCAGTTTCCTCGTTTTAAACTCGGCAATAACCCTTACAGGCAGGATCTCAGCTCAATGCAACCTCTCCCTCCTGGGTTCAAGTGATACTCCTGGCTCAGCCTCCCGAGTACCTGGGATTATAGGCGTCTGCCACCATGTCTGGATAATTTTTGTATTTTTAGTAGAGATGGGGTTTCCCCATGTTGGCCAGGCTAGTCTAGAACTCCTGACCTCAGGCTATCTGCCCACCTGCACCTCCCAAAGTGCTGGGATTACAAGTGTGAGCCACCATACCCAGCCTGAAAAACATTTTTTGATAGAATTCTTAAGAGTAAGCTTAAACCCAGCAAAATATACCCTTTCGGTGACTCAGAAAACCAATCTCCACAGTGAAGTCTCAAATGCAGAAGAACATTTAGGCACAGGTTATGCCATAAAAAGGATTAAGTGCTCCCATCCCTTTAGCATAAATACAATTCCAGCTCTACAGTAACTCAGTGGAAGACTGGGGGTTCTGAGTCACCAGATGCTCAAACATAGGCTATTTTCCTTAAGAAAGTCAGTTAAATTTCTTGAGCAATACCCCATAGGCATAGGCAACCAAAGTAAACATGGATAAATGGAATCACATCAAGTTCAAAAGCTTCTGCCCACTAAAGAATACAATCAACAAAGTGAAGAGACAACCCATGGAATGGGGGAAAAAATTTGCAAACTACTCCTCTGATGACAGATGAATAACCAGAACATATAAGGAGTTCAAACAACTCTATAGGAAAAAATATATATAATAATCCAATCAAACAACGGCCAAAAGATTTAAACAGACATTTCTCAAAAGAAGACAAACAAATGGCAAACAGGCATATGAAAAGATGCTCAAAATTACTGATTGTAAGAGAAATGCAAATCGAAACTACAATGAGGTATCATCTCACCCCAGTTAAAATGGCTTATATTCAAAAGATAGCAAGATGGCCAAATAGGAATAGCTCCAATCCGCAGTTGCCAGCGAGAGCGAGGCAGAAGGCAAGTAAACTTCACATTTCCAACTGACGTACCAGGTCCATCTCATTGGTACTGATTAGACAGTGGGTGCAGCCCGAGGAAGGCCAGCAGAAGCAGGGTGGAGCATCGCATCACCTGAAAAGCACAAGGGGCCGGAGTACTCCCTGTCTAAGCCAAGAGAAGCCATTAGGGACTTTTCCCAATATTCTGGCACTCTGGTTCACATACTGTGTTTTCTCCATGGTCTTCACAACCCACAGACCAGAAGATTCCCTCAGTGCCTACAACACCAGCACCCCTGGTTTCCAGCACAAAACTGGGTGGCCGTTTTAGCCACAGCAGTTTTGTTTCATTTTTTCCTCATACCCCAGTGGCACCTGGAACACCAGCGAGACACAACCTCTTGTTCCCCTGAAAAAGGAGGCTGAAGGCAGGGAGCCAAGGGATCTGGCTCGGCAGGTCCCACCCTCACAAAGACCAGCAACTAAGATCCACTGGCTTGAAATTCTCGCAGCTAGGACAGCAGTCTGAGCTGGACCTGGTACATTCGATCTCAGTGGAGGGAGGGGCGTCCGCCATTGCTGAGGCTGGGGTAGGTTTTTAACCACGCCTGTAAACAAAGTCACTGGGAAGTTTACATAGCAATGGATATGCATAGCAAGTTTACATAGCAACGGATAACATACAATTTTCACAGGTGTAGCATTCACAGTGCTCATTCTTCTCACCGAAGAAGCCCTCGCCATAGAAGCACGTCACCTCATCCCCTGGCTCGATGTCCCGGAGCACCTTCACGCAGGCTGCGTTCCCATCTGCGGGCACAAACTTGCAGTTGGGTTTGCAGTCACGGTTGATGAAGGCAGCAGGGCCCAGCCGCAGCTGAGCACTCCGCTTGCGGGTAGAGTACATGATGCTGAAGTCATTCTCGCCGGCCCTCAGCAGCCCCTCATCTGCCTCCCGCAGCTCTGCGATGCAGCCCACCAGCAGCTCCAGCTTCTCATTCTACTTCCAAGCACGAGTGGACACGATCTTGGCCCTGTTGGTCTCCATGGAGTAGCGCGCCCAGGGCAGGATGGTAAAGCCACTTTCCGGCAGGAAGGCACAGAGGTAGCGATAGACGTCGGTCTTGAGGGCAGCCTCATGCCGCGGGCCCCGGGAAAGCTTCCACCGCTGAGTGCAGGTGGTGCTGTTGCCGCAGCGGGGGCACAGGGCTGACATTCATCTTATGGGTGCGGAAACTGAGGTAGGGGTCTAGGATGAGTCTGGTGGCCAGGTCGTCGTTCTCACACAGTTCTCGTGCTGTCACTCTGTCGGGCCCCATGGTGCCCCTCGGACCATGCTGCCCCTGGCGGAGAGCAGGGGCAGGTGAGGGCAAGGCGGGCGTGGGGAGCCTGGCTTCGTGCTGACTCCACTCCTGCGCTACTCAGAAGTGGTGGGGAATGCCGGCGAGCCCCAAGATCTCATCTGCTTCTCCTCCTCAGGTGCCCGCGCCGCCTTCTTCTTTTTTTTTTTTTTTCCAACTGCAAAACGGGTTTATTTTTTAAGCATCAAACAAGATTATCACATTAAAAAACAGCTCCAGGGCTAGGGTAGTGTATAAAGTGCTCAAGTGTCCTGAATGTCATGAGTACTGTTTAAAATGAATATTATAATTTATTTAAAGACTTTAAAAATTATACCCTAAAAATGAATGCCATGTGTTAGGCATTTCTATAAACTATTCTTTTCCACTTATCAAAATAAGTTTTTTAAAAATCATGATATTTCATATACAGATTTGAAACAAAGAAAAATCAAAGAATATATAGGTTTTCTCAAAATGAGCTAAGTCATGTTTTTTTCTTTCTTTGCTAGAAAATATACCTTCTTAGAAATGTCTGATTATCAATTCACCCAAGAATGTTATTTTTCAGACTTCCTCTATAAAAGGATATTACTATTTATACTCCCCCAATGCAATGTAACTCACTTAAAAATACTATGAAGTCTGACTACGGGTCAGGCATTATATTGTATTTTAGGATGAAGAAGGGGACTCAAAAACTGAAGACAAAGATTAACAGTTAGATGGATAACCATGCTGCCAAGTCGATAAGGATACAATTAACAGAAACAGGAAGTGCAGCTGAGGTGATTAATTCTATGTGTTAAGATTCTTTTTACTCAATAAATGTTTACTGAGTGCCTACTATGAATCAGGCATATCTTGATATGCAATATGTAACAAACAATATGCCTAACCGATGGGGTTTTAAAATTCTCTTTAATCCCGGCTAAGTCTAGCCGACAGAAACTGCTGACAAATTATAGACAATGAAGCAGTGGGATATGTCAAAGGTGACTCCAAGGTTTCTAGTTTAGGTAACTGACCAGGTCGTGATGCTAAAACACAATTAAAAATATAGAAGGTCATGAAGGATTCATAGAAAAGAAAATTGTTTTGGTTTGGGATCTCCTTAAATGTAGTTGTCTATAGGACATCTATATGGTGAATTCTAGTATGAAGTAGGAAAGAAAAATGTGCAACTGAAAAGAAGAAAATAGGGGCCAAGAGGGATATACTTGGAAGTTATCCATTGTGATAACAGCTGAAGATTTACAAATGGATTAGATTTCCCAAGAATACTAAATTGTATCCTATGTAGCAAAGAAAAAGTGAATTCTCATCTTCGTCTTATATTATTGGTTTAAATCATAAAATACAATTATATACTGTCTCAGAAATATTTTTAAGTCATTGTAGAACAATTTGAAACATGTATGAGAATATTTTTTCAAGAAGATTATACAGTAAGCCCTTTAATAAATCCGTTCTTTATTCAAATCATCAAGATTCAAAACCACACAGAATAACCTTTTGTGGTAGGCAGAATTATAAGACAGTCCCTGATATGGTTTGGCTCTGTGTCCCCATCCAAATCTCATCTTGAATTGTAGTTCCCATAATTCCCACATGTTGTGGGAAAGACCTGGTGGGAGATAATTGAATCTTGGCAGCAGTTTCTCCCATACTGTTCTCATGTTAGTATGTCTTACAAGATGTGATGGTTTTATAAGGGATTTCCACTTTCATCTCTCTCTCATTCTCTCCTGTGCCGCCATGTCAGAAGTACCTTTTGCCTTCCACTATGATTGTGAGGCCTCCCCAGACATGTGAAACTGTGAGTCCATTAAGCCTCTTTGTCTTCCCAGTCTCAGGTCTTTGTCTCCCAGTCTCAGGTATGTCTTTATCAGCAGCATGAAAACAAACTAATACAGTCCCCAAGACTTTTCCCTGGTATACATACTCTGCAGGATCTCCAGGACCGTGAGGATATATTTTACTTCCACAATATGATAGGACATGTTATACTGCAGGTTGGTCCTAAAATAGGAAGATTATTCAACTGAGCCTGGCATAACCAAAGGAGTCCTTTAAGAGCAGATAGTTTTCTCCTGTTGGTGGCAGAAGTTTGTGATTCAAAGCATAAGAAAGATTTGAAGATTCATTGCTGGCTTGAAGATGGAGAGCCATATGCTAAGAAATGCAAGCCAACACCTAGGAGCTAAAGAGACCACAACCTAACAGCCAGTAAGAAAATGGGACCCTTGGTCCTACAACCACAAGGAACTAAATTCTGCCAATGACTGGAATCAGTTTGGAAGTGGAGCAATGGAGCTTTCCCCAGAGCCTCCAGATGAGAACTAAGTATGGCCAATACTTTTATTTCAGTCTTGTGATATTCTGAGCAAATAAAATACTTACAAAAGGTCTACAGAACTGTGAGCCAATAAATGGGAATTGTTTTAAGTCACTAAAATTGATGATGGCCGTTTAGGAACAGCTCAGGATTGCAGGCCCCGTGAAAGCACAGAGGGTGAGTGGACGCCGCGTTTTTGTTGCCCACAGATTAGGAAATTCCCAGGCGGAGGTGCTCCACGGTCGCCAGCGCGGCTGTTTCGGCCACCGCGGCTGTGCCGGCCAGTGCCGCTGCTTTGCCCCGTGCGGCTGCTTTGTCGGCGCCCCGGAGCCGCGGTTCCCGTACAAAATACACTGGTCCGGGGGCCCTTTTGGCTGGCGATTGGAGCCACGGGAAGTC